TCCTTCTTACTTCCTGTCTTTTCTTGTTAATCGTATTCCAGGTTTGCTCTTCTCATAGCAGACCCGTTTCTATGTAATTTCCATTCATCAATGAGAATTTTGCTTTGTTCCAGCATTCAATTGCTTTATAAGTGTGTTGGGTAAGTTGACAATATTCCAGGTTCTTGTCACATTCATGGTAAAAGATGGAAATGTTAGCAGAAAGTGTTTACTGGTCCAATATTTTGAATCTGATATGTACCCCCTCTCCCATGGAAGGCAATGGCTCAGATGTTCCCCTAACCTATCCAGGGAATGGACTGGAGGGAATCTGAAGTAGCATCTGTTCTAGATTGTCTGATTCCACAAAAATCCTTACTATTCAGACTTGCCAATCCTTGGGATGTGATATTATCATTTTGAGCATTGTGATTCATCATGCATGTTTGGTTTGGATATTTGAATACCATTTGCCTGCTTTTTTCTGTTTGCCTTGCTGTACCTCAACTGTTATGATACCTTGATCAGATTTAGTTACCACCAATTAGAACTGTTGCTGTAAATGTTCCTAGTTGCAAGCACAGAGAATGGGTTTCCTAAACCATGTTGCCCTGGTAATCAGGCATTAAGACTTGTTTTTATTCTGCAGGCCATGTGGGAGGATAACAATACTAGAGCAAAGTGGGTAACAGTACATCGGTGTTACTTCCCTGGTGATTTGCCTGAGGCTGTTGGCCGCCCTTGTGGCCTAGAAAGCAGTGAGGTGAACTATGTTTATCCTTTTTTGAAATGTTTTGCTTCAAGTGCAATGATGTATGAACAGAAAATTTAATATAAACCCAAATCATCATTAATCACAAGGACCAAGTTTGCATGAGTAGTGGTTCTCCTGTGTATTTTTTGTGTCCATTATGACGTGTCTTAATGCTTTTATATGTGTATAAAACTGAAGAGTATTGGTTTTACTTAAGTTTTCACCCATGCATCTCTCAGAAAGTTCACGACGTCATTTAAAAATCATTATCATCATCAAAGATAAAAGTGAACTCTTTTGAGCTGAGATAAGCTACAGCATAGAAAAGTTTCTTATTGGTGCGCCTTGAATGTCAACAGTAGTTCTGATGCTAAGACTTTGGGCTGTTTATCAAATATTTTGCTCTTAATTGTATTGTATTAGTTTTACTTCAATAATCACCCTTGCATTTGGAAAAAAGTTGAAGGAAGCTTATCAAAATTATCGATAAATTTTGACAATAATAAGTAACCTTTTTTGGACTGATTTACTGCTAAAGCGTGATGAAGATTTTTGGTGGCTTTACTCAGTTGACAAATAGTTCACTTTTGCAAGAACAGCATTTATTAGGGATTTTTTGACATCTGTTTAAAGATGTACCTGAGTCGAGACTAGGACTACATTATACTTTTAAGGATGGAGGCAATAGTCGGCTTGTAGGTGAATGGTGTAAAGTTAAATTAGAAGACACCGTATAAATGTCACATGTTATTAAATTGGTTTTTGGTGCTACCTCTGGTTATGCTAATTGATAAATTGAAAGATGTAGATACCTTCTGATTTGTTTGTATACTATAGTTTTATATAGGATAAATCTGAAAAGATGTGTATAAGATAAGATAGGAAGCTTATTTTCTATATAGAGACTAAAATATTCATTGATATCAGAATTCATTTCATTTATATTTTTGCATATTTTTCATTTTTTCATTTGTTAATTTTTGCCTTCTCTTAGCTTCTGTATTGGTTGAGCTAAAAATCAGATTTTTAGTAAATTTTGATAAAAGTTGATGAAATGTGGAATTAAAAAATTGTGTCCCAAGAAATGTGTAGTTGAAAATGCGTTTTAGAAAATGACGACCAAACAGGGGCTTAATGTGTTCCAGGTCAACCGAAAATCAAATATCATATTATTCCAAATGTCAGCTTGCATCTTTGGGTCATTACCATTGTATTTTCTTGTTACAGGTTTGATTGCTGTCTATTACTGAGATATAACATGAATTTATTTCTTGATGCATTTTTTATAGGTCTGCGTGTCTAATCGTGATAGCACATTAATGGCTGGTCTAATACAAAGCCCATGTGAAGTCCTTCCGCCGAGAAAGTTTGCTGAAGAAAGTGAAAGGAGAACTCATTTAAGGCCACAGCCAAACCGTCGTTTACCTCCACTTTATCTGTGCAAGTACGTCCATGGAGTGTGCATTATATTTACTTTCCAGTTGCATATTTTCTGTGTAGGATTGATGTGTGGTTGACAAATGTTTTCCTGTATGCGCTGCTCTTTAGTTTTTTCATCTATCTACTATCTACATTCATTTCTATGTTTCTTCTTGCAGATGGATATATGATGAATCAAAAGGTTTATTCCGTGACATTTCCTGTTAATTACGGGTTAGGCATACCATAGGTCAATACATGGATGCTGCCCCTGTTCAGTCACAGTTTAATCAGGTGCATGGCCTTTCTCTTTGTCTGAAACTCCATCCTTAAATGTACTAGTAATTTTCTTTGAGTGAGTCTCTTTACTTTTTGATCATGTCTTTTGTACAGTTCATAAAAGCCCCATTTTGCATGGCTTTTAAAAAGTCAAAAGTAGTTTTTGAGATTAAGAAACTATTTTTTTGAACCTGTTTGGATAACTTTCTGAAAGTGCTTTGTCTACGTAGTATTTAAAATAAGCTGAGCTAACATAGCTTTTTCAGGAAACTCTTCTACAAAATGTAGTAGTAAAAGCCTTGCAAAACGGGCCCTAAATTTCCGTCACATCTTCTCGAAGATGTGGAAAAGGCGCACATAAATGTAGAGTACTATTAGTCATGTGCTAATGATAAACCCCAAATACGGTTTACATATTTTAGAAGACTCAAGGGGGGAGGTGGGCAGTAGAAACAGAATTCTGTTAGGCAGCAAATGGCAAAGGGTGAAGTAGTTAGGAGTGGGCTATAAATAAGAACGTAAGGAAG